ATTACTCTAACTTGTAAAGCAAAAGACTCGATCCAATTCACTAATTGTTTATGACACTTGATTACAACTCATTTCCTAAAACATATTCACTAGACTGACTCAGGAAGAATACTAGGCAAGTACTCAACACTAGTAAACGACTTATGACTCTTTAGTGTAAAAAGATAGTTTAGAAGTCCAAAGTTGGTCCTATTTAAAACACCACTTGTGATCTTCTAGGAGTCGTATTCATAGTCAGCTTCCTCTTTGATAGGACTCCTATTGTTCTAAGGATTCTGCAAGCTTTGGGATTTTTGTCTCTGACTGAATTATCTATATCTTCTTGTGCAACGATCCTTACCACTTATAGCAGTCTTCTTCCACCAAACTCGGACCTGGGTAACTTTGAGATAAAGTTACTGTCTTGTACGGACGTACAAGTATCAATCGTGCGGAGCTGATCCTTTCTCCCGAGGAGCTGGTTCTTCACAACAGTTAAGCAGCTACGTTTAGGACTTGGTTCTTTGAGCATTTAGTCATACTTTGTTAATCATCAAAACTTTAATACTCAACAATATGTGTTTAATTTTCTTAAATATTTTTAATGTGCATGCATGTGCAACTCAAGTTTTAGATAGTAACTGCGCGCTTAACCAGTATTTACATGTCGGATTCACCTCAGAGAGCTTAGGAGAATGGAGAAAACCTATGTTGCGTAAATTCTCTAAAAATGTTATTGCACTCGTATCGAGTTCTCAAAAAATATACTACTTTTTGAATAGTTCGAGTAATGTAGAAGAAAAAAAAATGATGATTTGACTAGTATTAATATACAATTCCAAAGATGAATTTGCCTCATATTTGTTACATGAGATTAATATGAAGTGACAAGAGGGATAAGATCAACCATATTATTTCTATGAAATAGGAACTGAAGACGTAAGTGGGAATTTAGAATTAAGTGAAACAGATGAAACCGACACCAAATAACCAATAATCATATACCTAAAGATTTCCAATTTTTCTTATATGATATAGCCATATGGACAGCTTTCGCTTTGCAATTTGTGTCCTCCTAGAAACCAAGCAAAGTCCTCATTCAAATGTTTTGTTTTCTTCTTGAAACTTTATATAATATGTGAATGAATGTGTAGTAAACCCACATGCACACAACTCATCAATTACCTTTTTCTGTGGGGTTTCTCGTGAGACAATGGGAGAAAAACATAACTCACAATAACACGTGTTGTCCACATTATAAAAGTGAAAAATTATATTCCTTTTTCCAATCACATAGCCATATTATAGCCATACCAAGAAGCAATTCATTAACCACCAAGAATTGCATGGACCGGAGCAGTAAGTATTTTTTTCATCTTCAACAAAAAGCCTTAGGTTTGAATCTTGGGTATCGAAACGTCTTTATTAGAAAGCACTATACCTTCAAATGCAATATTTTTCGGTGCAAATAAACATTTAGTCGGACCCCAAATCATATATTGAACAAGAAAAACTAAAAAAAGAATCAATTGATTCATTTTTCAATCATCTTGGACTTGCTTTTGTTGCCTATGGTGGGCTCCTAAGTCTTTATATGATGAGAAGTTAATAGTATATTACAGCTAAAATCCCACTTGCATGTCTCCTAGATGTCACAACTCGAGAAAAATCCCAATTTTCCTTCCCATCTACTGATCAACATGACTTTTTTGATTGAGGGTTTTGAAAATGAGATCTCATTAGCATCGATCTGAAGTTTTTTAGAACTGATAGTGACCCGTCTGATTCAGAATTTAAATTACTTGCATGGTTACAGCCTTAAGGTTTTTACCACTAAATAAATATAAATATTGCACTGCATTATATATTACACTTTTAAATTTAATTATGAGTTCAAAATTCAATACGGAGTTCAGATGTATCCATAACCAGAACAGTACTATATCCGCCCTCTAATAGTGACATATATACTGTAATTATATGGTTGGATAACTTGAATGCACGATTTTTTTTTTTAGCTAAATTATAATCTAAGAACAAAGTAACATTAGTATATGATGCCCAAAACATGAGAACAACGGATGAATAGATAGTTCAAAGTCAGTAATGCATTTCTACAGCTTTTTATATTATCACGACATGGCCAGGATGCAAAACCCTAGTTTCTNATATATATATATATATATATGCCCCCTTCTGTTTTTTTGCACGAGCTGGATGATGAAAAATTTATCATAATCAGTTTCCTAGAAAAATAGATCTATAAGAATTCATCGATCTCAATAATAAAATAACATCAATGGAATCGTCCTGTATTAAGAACTAAATTGACTAAAGCTATAGGTCATATTTATTGTGAAGAGCCCACGTAATTATTATCCTAACAATAGAAACTATATGTAGAGAAACGTTTTCTTCAATCCCCAAACTGATGTGAGATTACTAATAAAAGATAGAAAAACAAATACTACAAGGACTGGTCAAACAAGACAAACTTGTTTTGTTAAAATGTAGGTTGGACCCAAAGTCTATAGTTTTAACTAATTTCTAGTGTCTGCATTTGGCAAACATTTAATTGGATAATCAACTTGCATATTTATGGTTGTCAGTGCAACCAATTTAGATTGATGTTCAGATTTTTCAATCATGTTATAATTACAAGTAGCTTAGATTCACATGCATAGATAAGTAGACCAAGTTGTTCTTTTAGTTATTTTGTTTTCTCACATAAGCAAACAAGATTGGTCATAAACTCTTGAAAATGTCAGTATTGGATTGGATTAAAAATCACTGAAGAAGATAAGATTATATCATTAATTATATATGCTTTACAATACTTTTAACTTTATTGTCAAATTCTGTACTTTGGGATGGGGATGATTATGAAATATAGTTTGAAAAAATCACCAGATGATCTAGTGTACTTTACAAGAAAGTTGGTTCGGTATTTTTCAGACGCTGTTTCTTTATTTTTTTTAGCCGAGGGTTTAATTCGCGTACACTCTATCCTCCCCAAATTCCATTTGTGGGAATCCCCTCCGTATGTTGTTATTATATGACGGTCACTATTTCTGGTTCAAGAAGTTTTTATTTGTGTATAATTCTGTGGGTAGTTACTCGCCTTTATCAAGGCTTTAAATTTCGAAACAGATTAATTGGAGCATCATCTCTCAACGCTCTATTTTAGTATAAAAAAAAAAGAATATTAACAAATTACAAGAGTTAGCAAACTACGCTATTTTAATTTTAGACTGGGCAAACATAAATTTTACGGACGAATACTTGTAGTATTCTACTATGTTCAAAGTCATCCCACTCAATGTTCCGTACTTGACTTGTTATATTTTGATTTACATCGGAAAATTCTACTTTGTAGATAAAATATTTCCTATTAAACTCATACTCATAACTCGAGCCTGAGACGTATGCATGTAGATTTATGTTCAACTTGCATGTTGGTAGTTTCTCTATCCGTAAGTGATGTACAAATATAGTACTTTAAAGAAAACATCATGCGCAAGCTTGTTATACAAACAAAGAGATAATAAGTTTTTAACTATTTTCTATAAATAAATACATACTTCCCATTTTAGGGTGACCCAATACTATGGAACTAATATCTTATTTTACCTCGATTTTTCTCATTAAAAGTTAGTTCAAGGCACATCTTAATCTGAAAAAAATACGTAAAAAAAGTAGTAACTAGTAGTCTAGTACTACTACTACTACCATTTACCTTTCAATTAATCGGCAATATTAACACCGACGCCGAGGAGATAAAGCAGGGATATGCTGACGCTTCCAATATATTTAGCTAGCTCAACTTTAGCCGAGCCGCTCCAAACAAGCCAAGCCATTCCACATTCTGCTTATCACGGGTACATATAGCTTATACTGCTATGTTAACAAGAAAAAAGAAAAGAAAAAACTCATATATTATCACTTAACTCATATCCAGGAACTTAAGGAGAAAATGATAATATCTTCATATTTTAATTTGTAACACTAATTTATTTCATGATTTATGCTATTATCTTTACTTGTCGTATTTTGATTTTTTTAATATAATTTTTTTTAATTTATTTAATGTTAATGTAAAATAGTTACAATTTGATTATTTTACCCTTAATAGTATATTCTTTTATTAACTAATTTATGTCTCTCTATCCCTTCGGGCAGGGGTAAGGTCTGCGTACACACTACCCTCCCCAGACCCCATTAGTGGGATTTCACTGTAGGGGTAAGGTCTGCGTACACACTACCCTCCCCAAACCCCATGAGTGAGATTTCACTGGGTTGTTGTTGTTGTTGTTGTTGTTGTTGTTTTGTTAACTAATTTTATGAATTTCTTCTTTAGCTAATTTTGTAAGAATTAATTTTTATATACTAACAATATAAAAAAATATTAAATCACCTTAAAAAATAAACATGTAATTAATCTTGATTTGAGGAACTAATAATTCGTAAAATATGACAGTAACTTATTATAACAAGAATAGTACTAATTTTTTTATATATCAATTATATATAATTTAAAAATAAATGGCATAGTTATATACAGTGAAGGATAATAAGTTGAACATCCTTCAATAATTTATTTATGTATATAAAAATTATATGAGGTACACAAATTTTATATATATATATATATATATATAATCTTGAACAAGAAAGGAGGCTTGAAGCATTGGTAACGTTGTTTCCGTATAATTTATAGGTCACATATTCAAATCGTGAAATCGGTCGCTGATACTTATTTTATAATAGATTGCCTACATTAAATTCTCTTGAAATACCGTTTTTCCTCGGATTCTAAATAAATACTGAATGCTTTGTGCATTAGGCCGTCATTTTTACAGTTATAGCCTGTGGACAAAATATCTCCTCACACGTTCGAGTTTACAGGTATAGCCAGTGGACGGTGGACTAGAAATCAAATTACATTTGGGTTGAATTTGGAGTTCATTTCATTTAGCCCCTCAAAAATACAAGTGCACCTAACCCCAGTCAGATTCTAACCCTACATCTGACTCAAGTTTTGGTTTTATTTAAAGTGAGAGAAAGTATTGTAAGCAGGGCCAGCTGGTTTTTCTCAACTAGTTTTAACTCTCCCAATTTTCTTCTCCTCTCTCTCTCCTCAAAATTTTCCTTTTGTAGATGAACCAATCTTTAGACTCATCACCTTCAAAACCTTAATGAGTATTCAAGATTTCATTTAAATTATCATGTAAATATTGAGGAACAAAAAAAGAGTGTAAAACTTAGCCCTTTTTTCTTTGCAAAAATAGTCTTTTTCCCCCTTTCTTGATGAGCCTTTTTTCTTTGCAAAAATAGCCTTTTTTCCTCTTTCTTGATGGGTAGTGAAGTTGAGGAGGAATATAAAAAAGAGAAAAATGAAACTTTGGTATTTAGAGAGAAAAATGGTTTGCACAAAATCAATACTTTCACTCAAAACTCTTCTATTTTGGTTGGTTTTAGTAGTGAAAGTCTCTGTTCTCATGTCTTCTTTTTATAAGTGAAAAACCAAACAAAAAAATAGGACAAGAACTCAAACTTAAAGCTTGCTCTTAGCTTCTCACTTTTTCAGCTCTGTTTCTCAGTTTTTGTACAGTTACTCTGCTCACTAAATAAGCTTAAGAATTCAAGAACTGAACTTTGATCCCAAAAAAAGAAACAGATATATTGAACTTTGGATCATCAATTATGAAAAGACCTTGTAGTTCTGATTCTTTGGGTGCTTTGATGTCCATGTGTCCAAATACTACAGGTACTTGTTATAATTTGCTTAAAGTTTTAAACTTTTTTTTCTTTCCTTTTTAATGGTATTTTTTAAACTTTTTTCCAAGCTCCAATTCCCAGTTTTAGCTATAAAGAAACTAATGGGATAATATAAAAATTGAATCTTTTTATTAAATCAAGAACATGGTTTTTTTTACCTTTCCTGTTATAGTAAGTTTTTATGCTTCACTCTTTATACCATTCTGTTCATATCTTTCCATTTTTAGCTTTTCTCAAGGCAATTATGTTGCACTCTTTATTTCATGTCTTTTTTCTAATAATTCTTTTTATTATTTTAGATGAGCAAAACCATGTGTATTCAACAAGGGACTTTCAGTCTATGTTATTAGATGAAGAAGGATGTATTGAAGAATCTGGTCATATTTCTGAGAAGAAAAGAAGACTAAGTGTTGAACAAGTAAAAGCTTTAGAGAAAAATTTTGAAGTTGAAAATAAACTTGAACCTGAAAGGAAAGTGAAGTTGGCTCAAGAACTAGGTTTGCAACCTAGACAAGTTGCTGTTTGGTTTCAAAACAGACGTGCTCGTTGGAAAACAAAGCAATTAGAGAGAGATTATGGTGTTCTTAAATCCAATTTTGATGCCCTCAAACATAATTATGAATCTCTCAAACATGACAATGAAGCTCTCTTGAAAGAGGTAATATAATGAGTTTTAACTTGTATACACATATAGTGTAACGATTTTTAGCATAGTAGTTTACGTAGAAGATAAATATATGAAACTATTCATAAAAAGCGAGATTGGCAACCTTAAAAGAATTCTTTCTTGTTATGACATGTTAGGAAATCATGTATAAATTCTTTACACCGTAAACAGGGGCGGAGCTAGAAGCTTAGCTATAAGTTCACCTAGTAACTTTTGTTCAAATAGGTGTTACGAAATTTATTAAATATATACAAATATCACATTTAGAACCTAGTTATTACCCCTTAAAGTCATTGTTTTAAAATTCAGAATCAAGAAAGTTGAAATCTTTATTCCACATAAGTTAATAGTTAATTCTTGATATAAAACATATAGCATAGCTAGATTAAGTTCTATCCCTTATGTTGTACAAATATTTACTAAATCAAGTTACTTATTAGATTGTTACACGATTAAATCTATGTATAAGCATTAGTTGGTCTGTAAAAGTACTAGATATTCATAAAGTTTGAATCTTTAAGGGTTTTTGTGCTGATTTTTGTGTCTTTTTTAATGGGGTGTTTTTAGATTCTTGAGCTGAAATCAAAGGTGTATACTGAGAATGGAGAAAGCAAAGGTGTTGCAGTGAAAGAAGAGGCTATGGAGTCTGAAAGTGATGACAACAAAGTGATTGAGCAGAGCAAGCCAAATGATAACGACAACAACAATAATAATTTTCTTGAAAATTTTGAAGAAGATGATGAAGAAGAAGAAATCAATTTTGAGAATTTTAATGTTGCTGCTGCTGCTACATCTACCAATATTTTTGGTGATAATTTCAAAGATGGATCTTCAGATAGTGATTCAAGTGCAATCTTGAATGAAGATAACAGTCCAAATGCTGCTGCTATTTCTTCATCTGGTGCTTTCTTGATTTCAACAAATGGAAATGGAAATGGAAATGGATCTTCAACTTCATTGAATTTTTGCTTCCAATTCACAGAATCAAGTTCAAAATCAAATCTTGGAGATGGCCAAAAGGGTAATAATAATTATTACCAGCCACAACAGTATGTGAAAATGGAGGAGCATAATTTTTTCAATGGTGAAGAATCTTGCAGTACTCTTTTCACAGATGAACAAGCTCCTACACTTCAATGGTACTGTCCTGAGGATTGGAATTGGAAAGAATAAAGGAAATGTCTTTTGGGATCAAATTTTTGTATAGTGGCTATAAGTGCAAACATCAGTACAGTAAATGGCCTAATGGGTAAATGTCCAGATATGAAAAAAGAAAAACTGAAGTTTTTGGATTTTGCCCTAGTGGAGTGGGGGTGAAGGAGGAGGGGGGTGGCTCAGGTGGGGTAGGTGGTAGGGGTGAGGAAAGAAGGAAGAGTGTGAGTTGGATCAGAAGTGTTCCCAAAGATCTGATCTTTTTTTACTGTTAAGGGGAGAGGAAAAAACTAAGTAAAAATGGGAAGAAGAAGAATTCCTGTTATGGCAAATAAAAGTGGCTAAAAGTATATTCATGCATTCTATATTTGAGTGATTTAATAGCTTTTTTCCAATGCATAAAGGGAAAATAAAAACCATAATGTTATTACTAAGGTATGACTCTGGCTTCTAACTGAGACACAATTTTGCCTTTTTTTTAATGGTTGGATGAACGGTTATTTAGGTTAATTTTTCTTTAGTGATTCATTTCTTTAGTGATTCACTCCGAAAATTCATTGGCCCATCCAGAAGACTCAATCCCGAAATTTTTGATTCAACACGAAGGGATTCATTTTCATTCCATTCTTGATAGTCGCTTTCACACATTTATCCTTTATATTTTAAAAAAAGAATTCATTTCTTTGCTTTTGTAAAATAAATTTAAGTATAATAGGTTTAAACTATATGATCATTAAATATGAAAAACTATAATATGTAACAATTTGGTGTTACTCTTTTAAGTGTTTGATTTTAGAGAAATTGTCATAAAACACTTTCTTTTAGTAGTAATTAGCCATCTATAGATACCATTTGCTATATTACGTGTTATAGATACCTTTTACGTGTATTTGATGTATTTAACTTAATGTATTCATGAATACAGTAGCAAAAATAAGCGTGAATCAGGAAAGTCTAGCTAATCTTCATATGTATTCAACTATATTTACGAGGTGTATTCAAAAATACAGTAACATTTTTTGTGTAAAATATGGACCTTTCAACTGGTTTAAAACGAAAAGGAAATCAATTTATCTGATATTCTCCTAATATAACTCAACTAATACAAACTATTGCACGATAAATCTAAATTCCTCCATTAACGAAAGTTTTTCAAATCGGAAAAAATAACCTAAAGCAGAGCAACATCTGGAGTTTAAGTTCTCCCTTTATTTTGTGGTTCCGCGTACCCAATTCTCTTTTCAACAACAAAAAATTGCTATTGAAACAATTGTATACATATGACAAGTTTAACAGTGTTGTTGAGGCATTCTGGCAAGTGGAACATTGAGAGCAATTACGTCGATTATTCAATTGAGGGAATACTGGTAAAGGAGTATGCATCGTATAGTGATTTGGTTCAACTAGGCATAGATTTGAGCTCAAAGTCCATTAAAATTCAATACAAAGTAGAAGAAAATTGCACGCCAATGGAAATACACAATGATATAGGTTACAGGGTGTATGTAGAGTTGAAAAAAGAGAATAGAGAATTCGGGAGGTATCCTTTGTGCATAATAACTATTGAAAAAGAACTTGTATCCGGAGGTAGTTTAATTCAAGGCTACATTTTGCAAATAGACGAAGCAGTTCAAATGTATGATTCTGATACAGATGATACACTTGCTCTAGATTTTGTCAGTTCAGGACAAGCAATTGGGGTGTTCGAACTGGACAAGAATTTGATAATTTCAAAAACTAATCAAAGGAAGGTTATGGTGGACAAGTATATAAGGATAAGGCTACATTGAAAGAGGTGATGGAGCATTAGTTTCAATTCTGAGTTGATAGGTCTAATTCTATCAGGTTTGAGTATATTTTATTATTCTTTATTTTTGTCGTATCTTGTATTTATGGTTGGAGTTGTAAGTTATATGTTGATGTGTTTATGCATATTTGTAAGATAATTGATCTTCACTGATGTGGTTAACTAGTATTTTATGATCTTCAAATACATGTATTCTTCTGTATTTTAATGGTATAAACTTATTACAGTGGCTCTCATTGTTTTTCTCTTTGGTTTACTAGTTGTATGCAAATGTATGCATAGTTATAAGTGTATTCAGTTGTATTATTTGCACAAATAACTATAGCCGTATTTGTATTCATGTGTATATGAGTGATTTTTTGTAAGCATTTATGTTAATCATATGTATAATAATAAATTCTTTGCAGCTATGCATTATTATGTATGTCAGAAGATTGTGAAGGGAGGTTTAAGGCTTCGAGCATTAACAAATTAGAACTATTCAAAGTGAGAGAGTTCATTGATAAGCATACATGTACGTTGAAGGACAAGGTGTATGAGCAGCGACAGACAAGTGGCAACCTTATAGGTGGTATGATTAGGCCAAAGCTTACTAATCATAAGAGGAAATACACCCCAAAGGATATAATTGATGATGTAAAATCAGATTTAGATGTAGATGTTAGTTACATGTTGGTGTGGCGGGCTAAAGAAAATGCAATGAATTTTTTGAGAGGTGAACCGACTGATTCATACAAAAAATTACCAGGATACTTATATACAATGGATAAGACATATCCAGGTTCGCACATTAGAATGGTAAAATTACCCAAAAATGAGTTCATGTATGTGTATATATATTTGTATGTTTTTATAAAGGGGTTTGATCATTGTAGACCCATTATGGTTGTGGATGGAAGTCACCTAAAATCTTACTACACCGGGACAGTCGTCTCGGCCAGCACGTTGGATGGTGCAGGTGAGTACGTGAATTATAATAAATTTTGTTAAAATTGTAAAGATTGAAATACATATTTTAAAAATATGTATGCAATTGTCTTTACAGGTCATATATTGCCACTAGCATATGGTGTTATTGATTTAGAGAACGATGCTGCTTGGACGTGGTTCTTTGAGCAATTCAAGATAGCATACGGTGATAGGAAAAACATGTGCATCGTTTCAGATAGAAATGAAAGTATCATTAAATCTATATCGAGAGTGTATCCAGATGTACCGCATTTTGCCTGTATATGGCATCTACGGAACAACGTATATAAGAAATTCAAAAAGAGCCATGCAAAGTTGAGCGAGATATACTTCTCGATGGCAAAAGCATACACACAAGCTGTTGACAGTCTGATGGAGAAGGTAGATATTAGGGTGAAAGAATACTTAGAGTCAGCTGGATACGAAAAGTGGGTTAGGTTGTATGCACCCGTTAACAGTGGATGGACCATGACGTCAAATATTGTTGAGTCAATCAATGTCGCACTAGTGTCAGCAAGGGAATTGCCAATATACGACTTCCTCGAAGAAGTTAAAAAGATGTTTGGACATTGGAATTGCAGTAACCGCAAAGAAGCTACACAAACTTACACAACGCTTGGAAAAAAATACCAGGAGATGCTGACTTTGAATGAGGCAATGTCTACACGCATGACTGTAAATTTTATTGTAATGTAATTGTATCATATATTTAGCTCTTTCTTTAGATAGCTTAATGTTTTCTGAAATAATTTATACCTTTTTTAAGATAGATGTATTCAATTGTATTATCATGCAAAGTCCTATAATGTTTTTGTTTCTTTTCAACTGCCTAAAGTTAACCAGATTTTAGATGTATAACAATGTATTCATAAGATAAGACGTAATTATAGTTTATAATTTTCCAGTCTACATAAATGATGTATTCTTCTGTATTCAAACATTTTAGTTGTATTTAACAGAATAATTCTGCATTATACATATAGAAATTCATTTGTTTAACTGAAATATTTATGCATTATGCATATATGATGCATTATTTAACTTAATAATTCTGCATTATACATACAGAAATATGTTTGTATTCAGTACATATTTGATTTAATTCATCCTGTTGTATATTTAATTCGTCTATTCTATGGTATATAAATGAATTTTTTTGTTTATATATGCTCAAAACTTATAGGTCTATGTTTAAATATAGGTGATACCATCGACTGAATACTTACATATGGTTACTGATGGAGGGAGGAATTACACCGTCTACCTGTTAGAGAGAAAATGCGTTTGCGGGAGGTTCCAAGTTGATGAGTTACCATGCCCACATGATTGGGTTGTATTGAAGAGCAAGTTTCTAATGCCAGAAGATTATTGCTCTAACTATTACAAACCGAATTCTGTTGTAATGACATACGATGTGCCTATGTACCCGCTACCGGACAGAAATGAATGGAATATACCAGCACATGTTGCAGAGGAAGTTGTATTACCCCCAAATGGAAAAGACCTCCTGGAAGGCCAAAGAAGAAGCGCGATAATCCTTTCAGTGAATTGCTACAGCCGAAAAATCAATATTCATGTTGCATATATGGGCAGAGAGGACATAATAAGCGAACGTGTAGAAATGCTCCACGTAGGATTTAGTTAACACTCTGGCATGTACTAGTGCTCCAACGATTTGTAATTACTTCTAATGACATTGTGAAATAATACATTTTGAACCTTTAAATGAATATATCCAGTGTACTAGTTAGTTGTAGCATTGTGTTAAATACATTCGAATACAACCTTTCAACAGATACTTAGACAATCTATCATAGACAGTGGCTGAGTTGTATATACATAACCAACCACAATACATCTGAATACAACTATATAACAATTTCAATAAATACATATACAATCTGCTGAATATATAATTACAACAATTGTATTATTCAGTCTCTGATTTAGATATAACACACGTGAGGAGCTGATTACATACTAATATACAATGTTGAATACATACAAAAATATAAATTGTCTTATACATTGTGTCTGCCTTGACTATACAAATAAAATCAAATGAATACAATTATTTATAGATTTGTATAAATATGAATATAACCTGCTTAAGTAAAATAAATACATCAAGTTGAGTACATACGTATAAACCTGTAATATACAGTTTCTGACTTTGATATACATACAAAGTGACTGAATCTTAATACATACTTATACGCCCTGTTGAATACATATGAATATATCCTGTAAGATACATATGAATAGAAACTGTAGACTAAGTATGAATACTTATGAACAAAACAATAAAACATAGATTGAAAAGTTGCAATGGTCATATATGAACAATGTTGATAAAGTGATTAAAACATGGATTTTTCTAACTGAATACCATCTTCACCAAAAAACTATTCAAAAAATAGTATTCAACTAAAACAACCTTCTAAAACTACATTCACCTAAAGCTACTCTAACACTATCTGCAACTTTGAATCTGACTCTGTGATTTGCCTAGCAATCTTTGTGGTGCTTTATTCTCGCTTATGGTATCGGCGTCTATCTTCTGCATAGCATAGTCCCAGAGGAGAGCACCATATCTGTCACGACCCTGGTTCGCCCTCCGTGAACCATCGTGACGGAACCTAGTCTCTACGACTAGGTAAGC